TCCGCTCCGACTCCCAGCGCGGCTTGGGCAGTCTCTTTGTCCTTGCAGACCAACTCGTCACCTCTCAGCCATCGAGGATGCACCCGCTCATCGCACGCGACGCCGAAGTGTTGACGCGCCTGGCCAACATTGGTGGTGAAGACAGGCGGGGCGATGACGATGGTGCTGGCGTGTGTCTGCGCTGGCCGCTGGACACCACGCTCCATGACGTTCTTGTACCACGCACGTTGCACCACAGCAGCAGCAACAGCAGCAACAGCAGCGACCGTCGCCATCCCGTGCATGCTCAGGAAGCACCCGCGCAGCCAATGTTCGAGGTGGTTGTGGTGGTGGAGGCGGAGTCCAGCGCCGCTGCACGTGCTTGCAAGCAACTGGACGCCCGCACGCTCGTGGTGAACTGCCGCACGCAGTTGGACGTGGACGAGTTTCTCAAAGACAACATGCCCTCTGCCGCCACCAGCATTGTGCTGTTTGAGGCAGCGCACCTGCTGTCGTGGAAGACGCGCACACGTGTGCTGCGTGTCCTCCGTGACCACGCACTCACTCGCCGTGCGACGTCCGACTTTTCAAGCAGCGACAGCGGCGTGTCCACGCGCGCAGGGAACCCGGTGTCCTCGCCACAATCGTCGTCATCATCGTCATCATCGCGTCGCAGAAGATCGGGTGCAGGATCGACACGGGCACGCGGACGCAACCCCACAACAGCAACAGCGACAGCAGCAGCAGCAGCTGTCACTTCCGGCAATGCTGCATACCAGGCAGACGACGTGTCGCCGCTGACCGTTGTCATGCAAGAGACAGCACCCGATCCACGGTATTATGTGCTGGACATGGGGCGTGTGCCCATCACCGTGCTGCGGTATGGTGCTGGTAACGTCGGCAACATGCCCACGTCGCAGCAGAACAGTGCCGCTGGGCAAGACGATGCCATTCAGCGTACGGTTGCGCACGCATCGTGGCTGTGTGGCCATACGCGCCTTGCCTCCGTCACCATCACAGATGCAGATGTCGCCAACGCCACGAGCACGCACGACCTCTTGACCTCGCTGCACGAGAACAACGCGGCCCACCAACTCAGGCCAACGGAGCTCGCCTTCTTGTCCCACATTGCCACCCAGCTGCATGCCCGAGCCACAGCTCCCACCGCTGACTTCGGCGACTCGGTCGAATCCATCGGCGATCCGCTGCAGCTGCTGTGCGTTGCCATTGCCCGCACTCTGCATGCACGCAACACCACCAGCGCCAGCAACACCAGCAGCAGCAACACGGGCCGAGCCAGGAGCCAGCATCACAGGCGGTGCCCAAGCGCCCATGTGCTGTCCTTCCAGCAGTTTGTGGAGCATTCATCCCTGGCCACGTTTGCCAGCCAGCGTGCCCGCGTTGCATTTTACGTGTGCTACCTGTGGGCACTCGGCAGCGCCCTGATGCGTGCACGCGGGGAAGCGCAGCGCAGGTCCGGTGCAGACAGCAGCGGCGGCAGCGTTGGTGGTGGTGATCGTGTGACAGCTTCACTGTCCTCGACCAGACCATCTTCGCAGCCCCATCCACTGTTTGCGGATGACGATGATGATGATGACGATGATGATGATGCTGATGATGATGACGATGACGATGTTGATGATGAGCCCCATATCAACGGCTTCTCCACCAGAGGACATCACAGGCACACCTACCACGATGGTGCTGCTGATGATGATGATGATGACAGCAGCCTCACCCGTTCTTCGGCCCCGGCGTCTCCTTCCTCATCGTCGCAAACAGGGTCCTCTTCCCGCGGAACTGAAACAACAGCAGCAGCGCTGCTCGCCCCGCTCCTGTCGTCCAGCGAGTGCGTGCACATTCTGAGGACCATTTGTGGTAGCCGGGACGAGGTGGGTGGCGCCAAGGATACCGCCTTTGCTGTTCGCAACATCATCCGCTCAGATCTGCTCGCCTCCTTTGATGTCGGCTCCGCCGATGGCAGTGCCGTGCGCGCGCAACAGTCGAGTGGCAGTGCTCTTCCTTCCGCCCGCACCCCAACGTACCTGCTCTCCAAGACGGCGGGCTGGGCAACAACGCGAGAGGGCCTGTACGAGGCTGTTGTGTCAGACCACCTGCTGGACTGGAACAGGCTTGACGCATCGTGGGCAACGTTCCCCTTTGGCGCCGATCTGCTTGCTGAGATTGTGGTTGCAGGCGTGCACCCGCTCGCCTATCTCCTCTCCATCATGCCGCAGAGCCTGGCCAGGCTGCTGCAGTCCCGTGTGCTGGAGAAGACGCTGCGCCACAACCAGTTTCCGTCCCGCCTTTTGGAGCAGCAGCTGAGGGGCGTGGACGAGCTGGTGGACCTTCAGCAGCAGTGCGAGGACATTGGCACCGTCATCTCCACCCCCATGCGCGAGACGGTCGCCGCCCTGAAGTGGACGCTGGCATCGCACGGGCTGCTCAGCTTGGACGCAGTGCCGTTTACGGCGCAGCACATGACCATGGTCACAGACATCTTTGAGATTCGCAAGGACACTGCCTTGACCAACAACACCCTGTACATGTGCGCAGCGCTGGACACAGACCTGGCGACCCATCGCGCCATTGAGAAGCGGCTGGTGAAGATGACTCTCCCAGACATCGCTGACGATGACGAGCTGCTTGTGATTGGCGCTGCGTACGTGCACGCCGTGCTTCGCGAGAGGAAGCGAGGAGACAGCAGTCACGCTGCCGCATTTGGTGCTCGGGCCAGCGTCACACCTGCGCGGGGGCGCTCCGACAACGTGCCACTACGCCACGCTCTGCCTTACATGGCCAGCAGCATGAGTAGCTATGCGGTCACGTTCACGCCAGCAGCTATCGGCACACTGCTTGGAGACGTGATTGACCCCACGCGCCACACCACGTCCCTGGATGAAGAAGCCACACAGGCTGTCGCCTCCACGGGAATCGCAGGCGTGCATGGATCATCACCATCATCAACGTGGCTGACTCTGCCTGCCGTTCTCACCCTGGCCATCGGGAGCGCCGAGCGAGCAGCCCAAGGCAGCAACAGCAGCAGCACTGACACTCGCAACGTCGACAGGAGCGGCACTGCTGCCGTGGGCGGGTCTACTCCCAACAGCTTCTTGCACTTCATTGCAGCGTGCTTGGACGAACTCAAATCCCTGTCATCAAAGCTGTACGCAGCGTGCCTGCTGCGACAGAAGTGCGCACAGAAACACCCACACCTGTGTATCACAGAGCTGGCTGAAGCGCTGGTACACAGCGTGTCATCGACGTCATCATCGCCATCCATCGCCATTGTCCGGTTCGTGTGGACACCTTCCGATGACAGTGCAAGGAAGGGTGTGATGAGCCTCTTCCAAGAGCAGGGCGAGTGCTGCACAGCATGGCACGCCCCCATGGCAGCAGCGGAAGCAGCAGCAAGTGCAGGAGAAGCTTCACAGCGTGCTGCTCATGATGATGACGATGATGACGATGATGACGATGATGACGATGATGGCAGTGGTGACGCAGCAGCTTTGGCGTCACAGACACCTTTGCACAGTGCGTCCGCCCCACCTGTCCTGCACGTGCTGTTGGACGACAAGTCACGCGCTGTGCGTCGCACGAAACAGTCCTCAGACGTAACGCCGCTGTTTGAAGCCATCGAGTGTCTCTTCCCCAAGAACAAGCAGGGCGCAGAGCAGTGTCTGGCTTTCTTCCAGCGCTGGTGCTGCGGCGACCTGCATCCAACGCTGCAGCGCGACACTGTCCTGGCCAGCGTGTTGTGGGCCGTGTTTCCAGGCAATCTCGTCGCTCCCCCACTGTGGCTGGTGGACGCGCCACGCAGTCAGCGGAATGCCCACATGAAGCTGCTCAACGACGTCATTCTCAAGTGCGCGTGCGAGCGCAGTCCATGCGGTGTTCACGCACTTTCCCAATTTGGCCTGACAGTGTTCCGCCCCTCCGAGGCCTATCCTTTTTCAAGCGAACACTTTACAGCGTCACTTGCCAACAAGAGCAGCCCTCCACCCATCCTGATGCAAGAGACGGAGCTGCTCTTTCACCGCCCCGTTGTCGATAGCGAGCCTGACCTCAACCTCGCGCCGCAACAGCGCCAGCGAATCAGAGAAGCTTTGCGCGCCGTGGAAAGTTGTACTGATTTTCACGAATTCGTTCAGCAGTTCATTTGTGCTGAGGACGGTGACGAGGATGGTAACATCAAGAGCATGTTGTCGTTGATTCTCACAGAGGGGCTCACCTTCAACTGCATCGCACATCTCGTCAAGACGGCTTTTGTCATCATCAAGGTGCGTGTGTGTGCGTGTGCGTGTGTGTGTGTGTATGTGTGTATGTGTGCGTGTGTGTGCGTGTGTGTGTATATATGTGTATGTGCGTGTGCGTGTGTGCTTGTTGTGGGGGGGGGGAGGGCTGGCCTGCTCGCGCACTTGCTTGTGTGTTTGTCTGGCACTATGGCAGTTGATAGTAATGTAACTGCGTGCTGTCTCTCTTCTCCCAACAACAAACATCATGGTCTCACCCGCCGACAAATCCTGTTGTGTCTTCTTGTTGCTCGTTCAAGGCCAAATCGATCCTGGAGGACCAGAAGGCAGAGGCGCAGCTGCACACTGAAGATGAGGAAGACGAAGGCAGGTCCACGAATGCACAATCCCACGACGCCCTGGAAAACGGGTTGGAGAAGCTAGCAGCACATGAGACGGTGATCAGTATGTTCCTCACATCGGCCAGACTCAACTTTTCCAGTATTGTTGAAGAGGTGTTTTCGGTTGATGACAGTGTTGATGATGGTGATGATGCTGCAAACCTGAAGGGGCGTGGCCATGGCAATGGAGACAGTGGAAATGACGAAGAAGAACAAGAACAAGAAGAAGGAGTCGAAGAAGAAGAAGACATGAAAGACGAGGAGGAGGAGGAGGAGCAAGAGCAGGAGCAGGGTGGAGCAAGTGGTGCGCGTGCTGCCGCTGAAATGGATGCACATATTCGTTCCCAGCTCGAGAGTGCCTCCCTTGACGTCGGGTACCAGGCTGACACCGACAACCGCGACTGGACACACATTCTCATGCGCGCGTGCGAGCCTGATTCTTTCATCGAGGATGTCACGTGTTCTGCGACACGTGTGACGAATGGCACGTTGATCGTGGATGCACGTCCCATCTCTCACGATGCCCAAGACCATTTGGAACAGCAACAGCACCAGCAGCAACAGCACCAGCAGCAACAAGAGCATGCTTCATCCGGTGCGAAGCCGTCAATGGTTCTGTTTGGGCCGAGCTTGCTGAGCTACATGGCAACCATCGACCTGATGTTCCGCTTCGACCCACGCTGCATCCCACGCGTGATGCGAGCCCTGCCCTACGACAAGTACAAGAACGCCGACAGCAGGATTGCAGCAGTGATGCTCGAGGTGAAGAAACACTACAAGGACACCGTGGTGCAAGTGTATCAGCTGATGTCCTCGCTGGACCAAGCGACAGCAGCGCAAGGGGAAACCCCACAACAGGAGCTTGGAGTTGACTGCCTTCGAGAGCTGTTGAGCGCGTATGGTCAGGATGCCTGTGAAGGCATGGGGCACTTCATGGTGATTGCATCTACAGCACCCCGCCATGCGTACATGGCGGTGTTTCCACGAGTGTCTCAGCGTCTCAGTCCGCCGCCACGCGACGCTTTCAAGTCTGCCCGCGATTGCACAATGGCTCTCCGTGTACCGCTGGGTTACGAGCGACGCTATCGCATGTGCGCGCTGAGTGTTTCGGACGCCGGCACCACACATTCCCATGCCCATGCCCGTTTCGGTGACGATGTCGCAATGATGGTCAGCTCCAAGGCGTCTCGGGTGCAACTGTTCAGCAGCACGAGCAGCAGCGTGCCGCCACCGCCACGCCAGGTGGCCACGTCCGCAGCTGCGCTTGGCGGGAGCCCGAACGATGCATCCAAAGCACTGGCAGCGCTGCAATCCGCGTGTGTGTTGGATGTGCGTGAGCTCATCTGCGTTGAGCCTGATCCAGCAACGGTGCTGAACACGACGCCCGACGACCACCAAGGCGACGACTCTGAGCCCTACTTTGAGGTCAAGTGTCTGCCGGGACAGCAGTGCGTGTTGGTGAAGGATTACGCGCACGTCCTGGACAGATCGGGTAACAACAACAGGGGCGCTGGCAACGTGAACTATGCACTCAAACGTGCCTTCCCCACAGACTTTCTTCGTGTCGTGGCTGACATGAGCGCTCTGGGCGAGAACGTGGAAGTGCTGGCGGCATTTGACACCTTCCACGATGCCTGGCTCTTCCTGGACACGCACCTCGGCTCCAAGGCCCTCGCTGTTGGGCAGAACTGTGTGCTGTACCGCACCGACATGTACAGCTGGGATGTGTCCCTCCCCGCCAGTGAGACGGGCGCAGGCAGCGGTGCTCCAATGCCTGCAGGCAACACCAGCAACGACAATCCCTTCAACGCCAATTTTTTGATGGCCTTGCACGCAGAGCTGGGTGGCTCCTTCTTGCCATCTTCTGTTGCAACCCTCTTTGAGAAGCTGTTGCGCGCGGGCGATGAAGAGGTTGCAACAATGGTCAGCTCCGCACTCAACGCATACGCGAATGGAGAGATGGTCACCTTCAAGGGCGTGTGCGACAGTGCACTGATCGACCCCACAACACCGCACGTCGTGGAGGTGTGGAACGCCATGCTGAGCTGCCTCGGCACCCACCACCGCGCCATCATCCAGCTTGCGCTTGGCAGTGGATACAGCAAGGCAGAGCACAACCTGTGTCTACTGCACAAGTTGTCGCAAAGTGATCTGATGCGACGGCAAGTGGCTGCGGGCGATGGTGGCTCAGCAGCAGGTGGCAACAGCAGCGGGAAGGGGCGGTTCAAGTTTGTTGATCTGTTGCGTTATCGCAAGGACACGCGCTCGCTGTTTGCAAAGGGGCAAACCGACGTGCTGCTGGTTGGATTCAGCACCCACATCGCGACCAAGGCAAGCCGGGATATCAACCAGCAACAGGAACAACAGCAGCAACACCGTGGTGATGCGGGCGAGGGTGAGGTTAACGCCGGCACGGACACGGGCACCACCTCCACCTCCACGACCACGCCTGTTCAGGATGCACTGTCCAAGCTCGAGCAGTGGCTGGTAAACGTGCTTGTGTCGCCACTACTGCCCTCCACCAAGCGAGGATTTGTGAACGTGATCAAGTCTGCCAACCCAGAGATGGCGCGCCTGGGTACCGATCGCAACTACTTTGTTGCCAGCCAGGACTGCGTCATTGCCATCACGCTCGCCAACAGCTGCCCGAACGAGCGCCGTCGCAGGGCGCTGAGCAACCTCACGGACATCACAGCCAACAACCAGAACTTTGAGGAGCTTCGCACAGCCATCCGGCGCAAAGACGACATGTACGGGGTGCACGTGTGCAAGCCAATGTTCCAGCAGCTGCGTAAAGTCGGCAATGAGCTGCTGGGGCCTTTTATCGCCTCGCTCGACTTTTCCGGCCACCGTGCGGACGATTCTGATCGCTACCTCAAGATCACCTCCTGCTTCAACAGCAACTGCCACTTTGTGTACGTGAAAGGGCTGCGGCAGGCCAGCGACCTGTTCCTCAAGCGCTGCTGCGAGTTTACAGAGCAGTGGCCCTGGCGGTACATCTACTTTGAGAACCTGGACATCCGCTTCAACTTCCCCGAGATTCGGGACCGGTTTGTTGTGGGAGACCAGGATCAACTGCAGCAGTTTGTGGACGAAAACACGTGGATTCGCTCCTTCCCGCGCTATGAGGGCACTGGTGATGCTGCTGCTGGTGACGATGGTGATCGTGATGATGGTGTTGGTCGTGATGGTGATGAAGATGGTGATGATGATGTTGATGAATGGACGAAACAAGTGAAAGGGTACATCTCAAACAGCAAGCGGTGCGTGGTGCTGCTGACGTCGCCGCCGGGCGCTGGCAAAACACATTTTGCCCACGAGCTGATCCGCACTTACAACGCCGAGATTGGTGGCAACGACAATGACAAGGGCAAGGGCAAGAAGGAGCAGAGTGAGAACAACAATGGGAACAAGGGCAAGAACGTGTACTGCCACCGCTTTGACTGCAGCAACGACAGGCTGGTGACGGAGAGCCTGTCTGTGCTTTTGGATGAGCAGTTTTCACGCCACAACGAGGCGTTCCTGGTGGCAGACGAGTTTCACTTGCTGTCGGCATCGCAGAAGGAGGAGCTGTTTGACTGGATCCGCAGCAACATGTCGCGTGTCAAGGTGCTGCTGATTGGCAATCGCGTGCTGAAGATTGACGACAAGCTCATGGACGACTTGCGTCGCGCCACCGCCCGCACGGAGAGCAACGGTCAGCAGCACGTCCAGGTGCAGAGCGTCAAAGTGCGCCTGACACCCCCGCGCATCAGACGCATTGCGCAGCAACAACGCAACGCCAGCAAGGCAGGCGGGCAGCAGCAGCAGCAGCAGCAGTACGCGTTGTCGACACATGATTCACGTGATTCCGAGTGGGGCAAGGACTTGGAAAAGTGGTGCAGCCTGATTTACCTGCTGCTGGGGGAGGAGGCGCTGAGTCTTCGCGACATTGACGTGCTTGTGGCCGCATTGCAGAAAAGCACGAACAACACGCTTGGTGGCATACGATCGGAGCAGGCGGCGGCGCTGTCAGCGGCCCTGCAGGCCAAGTGCCCGTACCTCTCTCCCCTGTTTGCAGACAGCCTGGGCGACGCGTTTGTGAAGCACAGAGGTGATGGCACGTTGGACAAGTTTTCCAGCGGGCTGCTGCCAACAATGCTGCTTGTGCTGATTCAGGCCATCCGCAACATGAAGTGGCGGCAACTGTGCGAGATCATGCCCTTCTCCGCGTTCTCTGCGTCGTCCGCACAGCAACAAGTCCCCGTGCGTGAGCGCTGCCGCCGCTGGCTCAAGCGCCACGTGCTGCAGCACATGGGCAAGCATGGAACGCGGGACATGCATGACATCAGCAAGGCGGTTGATGGCCTTCAGGTGAGCGCGAGTGCTGCGCGCGGTGGCAGCGCGCGGGTTGACGCGCACACGTGGATTGAGCAAGAGCCCTTCCCCTTCATCCGGGACTACGAGGACGGCGACAAGGAAGGCCTTGCCGTGGGCATTGCAGGCAACTACTCCGACATTCGCTGGGTGCAGGAGTGCGTCGTGCACTCGCGCCCCGTCAACTGGGAGGAGGCAAGTGCGTGCTGGAAGCAGAGCCCAATCACCGATCTGTCCGACTTTGAGGAGCTTGTTCGCGACTGCCCAAACAAGCTCCTTTGTCTGGACGCCGTGTCCACAGACAATCTGATTGGTCTGGCGCTCCGCTCCGAGATGATGGCAAACGGGCCTGGCCTGTTACTGCAACATATGTCCGCTGTATACACGCCGAACACGCTACCAAAGGCGCTGGAGCCCGGCGATCACCTCCAGGACACGGTGTACAGGCACCTGTTTACCTTCTGGCGGTGCATGCTGTATGCCGTTGCACTCGGTGCTGATGGTGCTGATGGTGGTGCGGGCCATGGTACTGGCAATGGTACTCCTACCCTTGATACCGGCGATGGCGCCAAACGAACGCCCCGCACGCGGTCCAAGTGCCCGCAGTGGCTGGCAGCGTTCACGACGCGCATTCAGCGCAGCAGCGAGTGCATGGCTGCCATGTTTGCGTGGGCGGCGCAGAATGGCGAGGCGCTGCCACCTGTCGCCTGTGCACGTGGGATGGAGGCCAGCAACAACGAGCGCGTGCTGGACATGTTTGCTCGTTTCTGCTGGACCTTTGCCTGCGATGACAATGCCAGCGGTGGCGGTGGTAGTGGTGTTGGCGGTGGTGGGTGGTTCGAACACGTGTGCCATGGCATGTTCATGGTGAAGATGGAGCATGTGCTCCAACAACCCTCACGACGCGCGCAGCTGCTGCCCGCGTTTGTCCATCTACTCCGTCTCAACAAGACCACGCTTTCTGCGCAGAGCCACCCGTTCCTGCGGGCCCTGAGCTTGTTCCGCTTCCACGACAAGACGTGCACCAAGCTTGAGGACGACAAGGTGGAGCCAGACGCACTGCGTGACGATCAACGCAATAAGGCGCAGTTTGATGGCGAACTGAAGCGCCTGTGGGGTGCTGCTCCACCTGGATGCATGGCCAGGCAGGAGCTGCGGTTTTTTGCCTCTCGAGTCCACAAACTACTGGATAATGCTACAAACAAGGAGGCCTTCAAGGAACTTCGTCACATGATCCAGTCTTGGATGTGAATGTTTGTGTGTGTGTGTGTGTGTGATGTGTGTGTGTGTGTGCGATGCGTGTGTGTGTGTGCGCGCGTGTGTGTAAGTGTGTGTGTGTGTGTGTGTGCATGGGTGTGAAACTGTTCTTTCGTTGCGGGCTGCCCCATTCGCGCCTTTCTTTCGTTTCTCTTTTCGTTTCCTACAAGTGAGAACCGCACGAAGACAAACCACTGCACGTGTGAACCCAGCACATTTCGACAAGTGACAGAGTGCCACCACCACCACCACCACCGTCAACAGCAAGCGACCGCTGCACGTCGGCGGCATCACGATTGATTGATCGGGTGTGAGGCTGGGAGCTGAGGTTCTTAGGTTCTGAGGTTCTGAGGTTGGTTGGACTGGTGCAGGTGAGCAGGTGGGCGGCAGGCAAGCAAGGACAGGCGTTGTGGTTGTGGAGGAATATGCGGAATCATCCACCAATTATCGCGTGTTTTGTGTTGTGGAGGAGGCTTTCGTCCACTCCAACAAAACACACACAGATACACACACACACACCAAACAGCACTGCAACAGCAACCAACATGCAGGCCGCTTCCAGGAGCGCGGAAGGCCTTGAGGGAGGCAGTGGCGGTGGTGGCGGCGGCGGTGGTGGTGGTGCCATGCTAGCCGGGACGTCCAAAGTCAGTCAGTTCATTGTGTCCACCTTACATCAGGCATTGAAGGAGCTGCACCGTGTCCTCAGCTCGAACTACCCCTCACAAAGCGGGGAGCACCTGGCATGGCTGCAAGCGATGGTGCTGTTTGTCGCCCAAAACCGCGAGCAGATTGGAAAGCGCACTGTCCAGGGGTTTCCCTTTCAGGCAGGGGAGGACGATGGCTTCCACCAAGACATGCTCGCTTACTTGGCAGACAAGGTAAGGTGTGTGTTTTTGTATGTGTGTGGGTTTGTGTGTGTGGGTGTGGTTTTGTGCGTGTGTGTATTTGTGTGTGTGTGTGTTGTTGTGTGTGAGTATTTGTGTGTGTGTGTGTGTATGTGTGTATGTGTGTATGTGTGTGTGTGTGTGTGTGTGTGTGTGAGGGATGTGCGAGCGGGTCGAACCGTCCGCCCGTCCGACACGGCACGAAATTGAGTGTCTGAATAAACCATATATATTCAGAGAGGAAAAACGGTGATCTTTCTGCCTGGGCGATTAGGGTCTCGTATGAGTAACACCACTGCCGGCTCTCGCGCGAATAGCCATACACAGACTCATCAAACAACATACTCCGAGCAGGATGGGAGAGAGGAGGTCTCGTGAGATATGACCGTTATGTAAGGAGAGAATAGAATGGCATGATGGAAGGCCTTGCTGGGTCCGATTAAAAAGGACGACTGACGAGATTTCACGACAGGATAAGAGAACTGCGAATGCAAAAAGAGCAATCAACACCGAAGAAGAAGGAGGTCAGAATGTGGCGAATGATTGATTGAAGGCA